CACAATGTTGATTTTTTTTTTTAAATAACTTAATTGTGTGTTACTGCTGCAAATAAGTATTTGAACACCTGTGAAAATCAATGTTAATATTTGGTACAGTAGCCTTTGTTTGCAATGACAGAGGTCAAAGGTTTCCTGTAGTTTTTCACCAGGTTTGCATTTGCACACACTGCAGCAGGATTTTGAACCATTCCTCTACACAGATCTTCTCTAGATCAGCCAGGTTTCTGGGCTGTCTATGAGAAACACGGAGTTTGAGCTCCCTCCAAAGAAGATTTTCTATAGGGTTTAGGTCTGGAGACTGGCTAGGCCACTCCAGAACCTTGATATGCTTCTTACGGAGCCACTCCTTGGTTCTCCTGGCTGTGTGCTTTGGGTCATTGTCATGTTGGAAGACCCAGCCACGACCCATCTTCAATGTTCTAACTGAGGGAAGGAGGTTGTTCCCCCAAAATCTCGCAATACATGGTCCCGGTCATCCTCTCCTTAATAAAGTGCAGTCACCCTGTCCCATGTGCAGAAAAACACCCCCAAAACATGATGCTTCCACCCCCATGCTTCACAGTAGGGATGGTGTTTTCGGGATTGTACTAATCATTCTTCGTCCTCCAAACACAGCGAGTGGAATTAAGACCAAAAAGTTCTATTTTGGTCTCATCTGACCACATAACTTTCTCCCATGACTCCTCTGGGTCATCCAAATGGTCATGGGCAAACTTAAGACGGGCCTGGACGTTTGTTGATTTAAGCAGGGGAACCTTACGTGTCATGCATGATTTTAAACTATGACGTCTTAGTGTATTACCCACAGTAACCTTGGAAACAGTGGTGCAAGCTCTCTTCAGGTCATTGACCAGATCCTCCCGTGTAGTTCTGGGCTGATTCCTCACCTTTCTGAGGATCATTGATACGCCACGAGGTGAGAACTTGCATGGAGCCCCAGTTCAAGGGAGATTGACAGTCATATTTAGCTTCTTCCATTTTCTAATAATTGCTCCAACAGTTGATCTTTTTTCACCAAGCTGCTTGGCAATTGCCCTGTAGCTCTTTCCAGCTTTGTGGAGGTCTACAATTTTGTCTCTGGTGTCTTTGGACGCTCTTTGCCATGTTAGTAGTTGGAGTCTTACTGATTGTGTGGGGTGGACCGGTGTCTTTATGCAGCTAACGACCTCAAACAGGTGCTTCTAATTTAGAATAATCAGTGGAGTGGAGGTGAACTTTTTAGAGGAGGACTAACAGGTCTTTGAGGGCCAGAATTGTTGCTGATTGACAGGTGTTCAAATACTTATTTGCAGCAGTAACACACAAATAAATTATAAAAAAATCATACATTGTGATTTCCGAATTGTATTTTATAGATTGTGTCTCTCACAGTGAACATGCACTTAAGATGAAAATTTCAGACCCCTCCATGATTTCTAAGTGGGAGAAGGTGCAAAGTCGCAGTGTTCAAGTACTTATTTCCTCACTGTACGTATTGTAACAACTAGTGAAAGTGGCTTTTCAGATTTCCATTTTGGATGAGAAAGACTGAGGGACGACGACTCAAAATAATTATATCTAATAATTTGTTTAGCATTAATCAACAATCCTGACTGATAGAAGCTACTCCTCCACCTCGGCCAGTTGTTCTAGGAACATGAAAATTTAAATAATTAACAGGAGTGGATTCCATAATACTAACAAAATCCTCCTGTTTTAGCCAGGTTTCTGTCAGACAGAATAAATCAATATGATGATCAGTTATCAGATCATTAACTCACAGAGACTTAGAGGAAAGAGATCTGATGTTCAACAATCCACATTTAATGATTTTAGTCTATTGTTCTGGTAAAGTAACTGTGTTTATTTTTATAAGATTCTCTTGATTTATTTATCTAGAACAGATTTTTAATTTGAGCCGTGGGCGAGTTGACACTGTTTCAGTGGGGGTGTGGGTGGGTAACAGAGGAGAAGCAGCAGAGAGGTGTGGAGGACTACAACTCTGCTTCCTGGACTGGACCCTGGGTTGTCAATAATTTGGAGGACAAACAAAATCTTATTCTAGAAAGAATAGCAGCTTCACCCAAAGTGGGAAGGATGCCATCTTTCCACATCAGAACAGGTTTGCCCCAAAAATCTCGCCAGTTACCAATGTGGCCCAAGTTGTTATCAGGACACCACCTGGACAGTCAGGGGTTGAACGACGACATACGACTAAGTGTCATCGCTGGTCAGGTTGGGGAGGGGAGAAAGAAAACTAGTTATTGCAAAGTTACACACCAGAGCAGCATTAATTTTAGTGACCTTCAATTGACACAACCGGGTGTCAATAACCTGACGTGAATGCTAATCTTACAGTATTTAACCTTAGCCTTAGTCAGCAGTTTCAGGTAGGATTCAATGTTGCCTGCTCTGGTCCCCTGAATGCATTTGACTGTGGCCGCTGGAGTCCCACGTTTCAGACTATGGGGCTGCAAATTACCAGGGGCTGCTTCTAAGAGGGTGAGTCACTGAGCGAGGAAAATCGATTGGAAACGTGAACAGGTCGGTGGTGAACTGGGGGCTTAGCCTTAGCACTGCACTTACTCCAGACCATCACCTGGTCGGCCTGGGGTCCAGGCTGCTCAGGGTCTGCTGGAGGAGCTAGTCTCAGACTCAAATAGTTCACCTTTCAGCTGTAGGTCTATATAATCATTTTTCTAAAGCCTTTTGCTGTAATTAGTTATTTGATGTTTACAATAAAAGAAAAAACACTAATTGTGTGTAGTCAGGAGTTAGAGCTCTGCATGCCAAGTGTGGCTCCAAAAAGACAATATGGCAGCACCTGTAAACTGAATGTTTTGGCTTCATTTTCAGAAGTAGATGAAATGCATCATCCATTTTTCATCATCCATTTCGTATGCATGTACAGTATGCATGTACATATGCATGTACAGTATGCATGTACATATGCATGTACAGTATGCATGTACAGTATGCATGTACATATGTATGTATGAATGAATGAATGCTAAAGTTGTTACTCCAAAGAAGTTTGTTGGATTGACCAAATACAGCTGGCCCCAGCAGGAAAGAATGGTTGTCTTGTGAATACAATGTTCGTTACAACAAGTGATTATTTATGCTCAGTGCTCTTTGAAGTCACCCACCCTTTACTTCCTATGGTTGACCACAAATCGTCTGTGGGGAGCACTGACCTACAGTCAAATTTATCCTCTTAAAGCTGAATTGATTTGCCCTGGTCATACTGAGCAGATTCATATGGCTGTCAGATGGATTGAAAACCAGACAAGTACGTTGTTATATTTTACTTCAGCTTATACACAAATGTACATTCAGCCACCTGCACCTTTACGACTAAAATAGTTCCATCTAGAGACTCTAAACTGGCCAGCATGATTCACATTCACCACTGAATCATACAGTAGGTACAGTACTTGGCTGTTGTCTGGAAAATGAAGCCAGGAGCAAGAAGATGATGAACATCACTTCAAAAGAGCAGAAATTCTGACTCTTGTGGTGAATAAAAAAACAAGTTAAGCCATGACAAAATTCTTGAAGTGAACCAATACTGATGTCGTCTCATTACAAGGACTCTCAACTGATTAACATGAACTCCCATTGACAGTCATTTAGCTCTCTATTCAGACTGTAGCATTCCTTTAGACAACAGAGTAAGTTTTTATAAATTATCTATACTGGCTGTTATTTACCTTTATTGTATGTCAAAAACTAATCACCCACATTTACAAGTCCTTAAATTTCTTCTTTTTTTTTTATAATCAGTTGAAAAAAAAAGAGTTTTTCCACACAAAAACCATGTTACAACTGAAAAAAGCAAAAGTAAAAATAATAATAATACTGGCTAAGAGTAGGTATGACAGAGTCTGATGTATTGCTGCAGTAGTTTCTCTAGCTAAATAATATCTACTGAGGTTTTACACCATGAAAATTTCTGTAATCTTTCTCAAACATAAATGTTTGAAAATCAATCTGATTATTAAAAATTTGCAAACATGGCCGTGAAGAAAACTCGAGAGCAGGTTGGATCCTCAATGAACTTGTCTGAGGTTTTTGTGGAGAACGTTTTGTGCACTCGCCCTGATCCTAGACCTATTGTTTGCCAACACTGAGGGTGAGATTCTTCTTCCACCTAAGATTTAAACAAATGAAGGCTAGTTTTGCCTGTTTTCTTAGTTTGTTAATCAAAACCCTTATCAGTTTTATTTTGTTGTAATTTTGGTTTATTTAGAAAAAAAACTACTAGAATGTCTAATAGCCTTCACACAAGACCAGGGGTCTGCAACCTGAGGCTATTTGACGCTTTGACCAAAACCAACACAAAAATCAAGTTAGTGTTTTTATAAACAACTAGTTTAAGCAGTTTTTCCGTCACATTTTTGCAAACGCTTGAATGATACGACTTATACAAGGAGCAAAACATGATTAGATTTAGCTACCGGTACTTCTCTTCCAACTTCCAGCCTTACATTGAGATCTTTGTTGCAAATCAGCCAGAAAACTTTTAGAAAACCTTCAAGTTGCTTAGACGAGGTGATTTGACAACAAGAATGAGAAAAATAAAACGTAATTAAAGTCAAAGTAAATAAAATAATAATAAGTCACAACTGCATATCAAACAAAATTACATAATTTTTATACACACATTTATGCTTTACTACTTTAACGTGGTACAACTAATAATTTTACCACAAATAAAAGGACTCTAAAAACCTGCATGGTCCAGTGTTGTAATTTCTTTTGCAAAATTGGTATGAACTACTGTTTGTTTTTCCTTCTTTACATGAAGGTCTTTTATTTTGTCCTAAAATGTAAAATATCAATAAATGTTAATTCATTATATAATTTTAATTTTATGGCACCTTGCAGTAGCGCAAAGTGCCATTCTTACTTTTAATTACCTGACCTCACCAGGTTTGTGTGTAATGTTGTGGTCTTCAATGCACAGAACATTTATATTTGTAATAAATTGTGTTGGCATGTGAATCACCTTCAAATTCAAGTGTCATGCATGTGAAAATGATATCAGGTTATTTGAATGCGTTTATGTAAGATGATCCTGCGGTTTGACTTGGGATTGTACAGTTTTCATAATCTTGTCAATTTTATTTTTACTGCATCGCTTGTGGATCATGTGCTGAAGATGTGTAATAAAATGTGAACTCTCACCATTGTTTCCTCTCAAAAAAGCATCCCCGTACTTGTTCTTGAGCTGTCCATTGACATACTCCTCCGTCTGCTCTATGGCAATGTTCATGTAACCGTCCAGGCAGGCCAAAACACCTGTACATTCACACAAACAATGGTTTGGATTAGTCTACCTTCCAGCTGTAGATCAGGAAACAAGAAGACTTCTGTCATGTTGGCTGCTTTACCTCTATAATCAACACCAGAGTTCAGTTTGACCACCACAGGTCTTCCAATTATCTGCTTCAGAAAGTCACTCGGCGTCTGCTTTCTCAGACTCATCTTGACTTAGTTCCTAAAAATGAAAAAAAGTATGTGTACCGGTAAATAACCACAATTAAACAGATGAAACACCCACACTTGCCCCCACCCTCATTCGCCCCACTCTGGGCCCATGAGCAAGGTCCTTAACCCCCACCATGTGCTCCCTAAAAAAAAAAAAAAGGTTTCCCTTGAAAAAGAGTTCTCGTGGCCCAATAAAACTAACCTGGATAAAAAAAGGCTAAATGAAAAAAAAAAAAAAAAAAATTAGCATTCACTAAGTTAGTTGCATCACTCCATTGAAAATCTCAAACCATGTCTTAAAGGAACATGTTATCTTATATGATTTACCTAAACGCGAACAAATTAACGCTAATGTTGTGCAAATGCACAAGCTAGCTGTTAGCCGGCTAGCACAAGTAGCCGGCTAACGGCTAACTACCAATGGTTCCGTTAACCCGTTAACAATAACACCAATAATCTTTTAAATACATTATAAAATTACTGTCGTATCATAACGAACCAAAAAACAGAGAAAATCCTTCAGACTATTTTTATTTTTGCTTTTATAAGCAGCACGGACGCTGCTGTTAATCCACTACGCGAAGGTGTTGTACAGGACTAAGATTGCTTACAGCTTCAAATACTGAATAATTATTTTGGATAAAAGACAAAACGTTTCAAACAAAGAATAATTCGTACGGAGGTTTTGACTCAACCTTGTTAGATACATCTACCGGTATGCTAACGAATTCACTCACCAGCTAAATGTTTTTCAAACGGCGTGGTAAATGCGTCTAGCTACACTACGGAAAGCCCTTATGGACAAACAACTGAAACGCGCAGGCAAAAAGTTTTTTCATAACAATAATAACAAAAAACATTTAAAAAATGCCAATTTCACATGTAACAAATCTATTTCAGCTAACATATTAAAACTAAACTTCCCTATCAATAACACAATTTTTATCCAAGAATATGACATATTAGTATAACTTCGTTATTATTAACATCAGAATATGTAGACAATTGAACAGGGAAAAAAAGAAACTTAAGGAAATCACATTACCTTAAGATATTAAAAGCAAAAATTAAATCAAGACCTGGGGTTTATAACAACTTAAACTCTGATATGATAGAGAAAAGTTTGCAGGTGCTTAATTAATTAAAATTAAAAAAAAGATTTACCAAATAATAAAAACTCATTTTTTAAACGCTTTTACAATTGGAAGAGCTTTTGTAAAATGACATTTATGAATCTAGAATTTGGCAAACAATATAATATTCAATTTTTTTTAAATTCTTTAATAAAATTCCAAATTTGATTTCTTTCCAGGAAATAAAAAAACAATTTGAAGAGACTTAGATATCAACCTGTTATGTATCTCCTTCCAAAAACCACTTACAGTCTCACATTCATAAAACACATTTTGTTGATTCCAACAAAGATTTACAAAAATAATAATTCTACTTTTCAAAATTGAATACTTTTTTAAAGAACTCCTGTGAGGGGTAAATTTCATTTACAATTTTAAAGTGGATTTCTTTAACTTTAGGAGGGATTGGAAATTTCAAAAATTTAGTTCTGATTGATCTAATTTCTTGTTTGTTAAAGTTTTTAAATTGATATGTTCTTTTGGAGGTCCCAGGATAGATCTCGTTGATTAAAATATTTCTCAAAACTATGTTATTGCAATTTTTTCATCTACAAAGTTTATATCATTAATTATTATTTTACGCAATCTGGGGGTCGGTATCTGATCTAAGTTATTCTTGATTAAATTAATCATAACATTTGGAATGTTATCAATCACTTTTTTATAATCCTCAGTGGTACAAATTATTTTATATTTATTACAAAATTCTTTGTATTTTAACTAATCTCCTTTATCATTTATCAAATGAACAATAGACCAAATCTGTTTTTCCATCCATCCTTCCATAAACATTTATTTTCTTCTCTTTAGCATCACCCTGTTTTTCCACAATGGGACATTATGTGGACTAAAGTTATGCCTGAAAATCATTTTCCAGTAAAACAGGACCTGCTGATGAAAAGCAGAGTTTCAGAGGTAATTTTGAAACCTCAAAGTCACATTTCAACATGAAATCAATGCCACCTAATTTCTTAAACACGAAGTTAGATAAAGAAAACCAAATATCAAATATTCAGGAATGAATGGGTTTACCTCCTGGGTTTGGTCCAGGTAGTGAAAAGGCCAGACTTCAGGGGTATCTGAGGCAGGCTTGAAACACAAGAGTCAGGGTGGCTTCTGGGTAATACCAGATGGCTAGGCCTCAGACTGACGAAGCCTCTTGGATGAGGGGCGAAACGTTTCTTTTT